TATTATCAGTAGGAACGCGATCAAGACTAGGAGAAGATTAGGACAAGACTAGGCCTTTTCTGTAGACTATCTTTTTCTATAAATCACATTAAAAAAAATTTAAGGCTTAGTCTCTAAATACGATTTCATAAGAGTCAATCTTTCAACGTTTAATATCAATTACATTTTAGAGTGTCTCTTTGTAGAATTAACACCGCACTTTAAAAAAATCGAAAATTTTATTAACAGTTCTATTTGCACTCACAATTCACGATTTCTTGATTTTGGTAACAGTTGATATTGTTGATAAAAATAATTGACATTTGAAAAATATAAAATAGCATGCTGTAATTATTAAATCACTAAAAGAGTAACTGAGCAGTACGTCATAATTTATTAAGAGGTATATACGATGTGTCAGCGCTAAATAAAAAATTTATTTAAATGTATTTAAATAAACTAAAACTATGGATAAAATATATCAAAACCTATATAGAACTCTTGGTGAATTAAAGAATTTTATTTATAATTATTTTTTTTAAACATAAAGCTCCATATCTCATACACATATGTTAAGTGTCATTTTTTTCAACAATATCAATAAAACTTTAATTTATTAACTTTTAAAAATTATAAAATTATTGCAAATAGAACTGTAGATAAAACTTTCGAGTTAATTTTTTAAAAGTGAGGTGTTAATTTTAAGAGATCTTTACTTATTGATGTCGTTTTTAGTAATATATATATTTCATAAGAATGTTATAAAGAAATTTACGTAAAAAGAATAGAAATGTTTATATACTATAAATAATACAATACTGTACAAGAAAGCAACACACGTATGATAAGGATTAATCTCTAAATAAAATTTATATACGATTTCTATATTAGTTATAAAAATGTACTAGATGTTGGATCTGAGTAGAAACGATGTACATAGCTATGCAATGGTGTCGGGCTAGGGAAAATTCTCATGCGTGATCTCGAAGGGTCGAGACGTGGAGTGTGGCAACGTGACTGTTGTGCATTCTGCTATCTTCCGCGATCGTAATCACGGATGTACGCGGGGCTGAACGTAGTTATTTATAACGCCTTTGAGACAGAACGTGGCGGAGTATGCGGTGATGATATTGCATATCAAAAGATAGAAAGAGAAAAAGAGAGAAGGGAGGAATGGAGACTGCCAAGAGACCTTTGTATAATGGATAATAAAGGCAGCGCAATTAACACATTCTACACGAAAAGAGAAATTATTGATTGCTGCAAAAAAATTTGACGTTGTACGTTTGGCTTTTAATATTAAATAAAATAATCATGTGTAAAGTATAAAAAAAAAATTCAAAATTTGTAACAGTATAAGATAACATTACTGAAATTTTAATTTTAACTTTTTTTTAACACATTAATCTTTTAACCGATCAAAATTGGGTAGGTATTGAAATATATACTTGTTTGAAAATGGATAAATTGTAATTAATAGATTAATTAAATTCTTAATTTTAGAATTTTCTGAATAAAAAATGAAATAATAAAGACAGGATTGATTTGAGAAATATTATTTTTATCTCCAATTTGAAAATTTTCTCGTACTTACACTTAAGTAGTATTTATTGATCTTTTAAGCGTTCAGTTGATAGATGTTCTTGAACTTCAAGAATTGTCAAGAATAGTGAAATAAAATGTATAAATTCGAATTAACTTATTGAAAACGTGATGACTTATGAATTTCTATTTTTATCTTGCTTCAATCCATCTATCATAAAATTATCAATAGATCAATACAAATATTACAACTAATATTAACGGAAAATGCTATTTTTTTCTCTCAGAAATAAAGTTATCATTGGAATATTTTTCTCGCTGTTATCAAAAGTTGCTTTAGATTTACTTTCCGCTATTGGGTTTGATCGTTTATTTGCTAGCTCATAAATCATCTAATCCATATTCATCTAATTTGTTCTCTCTCTCTCTCTCTCTCTCTCTCTCTCTCTCTCTCTCTCTTTCTCTCATCGGTCCATTTATTTACCAGCACTTAAGTATGCGCTCAATAATGTATCAGCTTTGAACCTGAAATACGTTAATCTAGGTAGTGGATTTGTCTAACATTTTTATGTAAATTTATTTTTAGATTGTTTTTTATTCCTACTGATTAAATATTGATAATAATAATCTTTTTCGATTCAACGTAATAAAAAAGGGAATTAAAAATTCTGCGGAAAAAATAAAGACTTTCACCAGAAGAACGCGTGCAAATATTCGCGTGTATTGTTGAGTAGTGCTGCTCGTAGGTTAGTGTCACAAATCGCGATAAAAACGGGTTTCAAAAGACTACGTCTTGAGTGCGTACTTAACGGAGAAGTACGTCTCACCCTTTGTACTCGTTAACTGACGAGTAACCCTTCCAGCATGACAAAAGTCGCGCCTGCAAAGGGCAACATTTTACTTAGAGCGGATGATATAATCACCGGTGTTATTATGATTAATTAAGGGATCAAGGAAAGAATGATGAAAATGATAGAAAAATGTCTTGAAAAAACGCGTGTGTTAAATTAATGACATGTAATAAATAATAATAAATAATAATTATTAAAAATAGCAAATTGCTGTAACATTTCCAGGAGTAAATTAAAGATTAAGAAGGTTAAAAAAACAAATTGAATTGATTTTTTAAATAAAGATGAATTGTAAATTTTCTCAAGGTAAAACAATTTCTTTTGCAGTCAAAAGTTATGAATAAAAATTAAAGAAAAATATTTCTCTTACATGTAAATTTAATATGATTTTATTTTTCGAAGTATAAGAAGGATTTTTGTATCTAATCTATTTGTGGAACGATATCAAAATATCAGTTTTATATTTGTGTAGCATAATAAGTGCAATATTTGTTATTACGATGATGGATTACGGTGATAATCATAATCTGTCTAATACAGATGACATCCAGAAATTCTAAAGGAGTGTGAAATTACGGCTCTAAAAATATAAGTATAGTTATTGCTTTGAAAAGGGAAAGATACATATCTGTTTGAAGCTGAAAGATGCAATCCCAAAAGATCGGAAAATTACAATTTTAAGGAAAAATGGCAGTTGTTTCGCATATGTTCCATATGGAAAAAATACATATACGTCTATTAGAAATAAAACCGCCCACTCTCAGTTGTTTTTAGAAATGGGTGAAAGGACATTAGACATAAATGCTCAAATATCTGTTTACTTTGAAATGGGTAAAAATGCGTAAGAAAAGGTCAAAAGAAATGCTTGTTAAGTTTCCTAATACAATTAGGAATTTATACTAGACATGAAAAATATATCTTTTTGCAATTCTCTTTGTTAGATAAAAGAAATAAAAATTAAAGAAATAAAATCGCTGCGTTTCTTTGAATGATCTTCAGTCCGAGGTTGCGTTCATTCACACCGCAAAGTTTCTCGGCAAACATTGTAAAACTCGATTCGTTATCTTCACCATAAACGTGCTGTTACGGTGCGGCGCTTAAACAATTAATCCACGGTCGGCGGTTCGTTAACTTCGCGACGCTAAAGTTTGCGCGCACGGTGGATAGTAGTTTTCGTTATCATCTCCAGTTTACATACCACACACACACACACACACACACACACACACACACACACACACACCACACAGCGCCACAAATTTCGGGATCTTCAGGAACAGACGAAAACACGAAAATATCTTGGACAGCTTAGAAGAAAGAAGACGCATAGTCGATATTATTACACTAAAAAAGATAATATCTCACTTAATCAGATGTTTAAGACGGGGTAAATAAGCTTTAAAAAATTTTGATGATTGTACTAAAACACGCTGAAGATTTCATGATGATTATCTTATTTATTATTTTTAGAAAAATATGTTTTTTTATCAAAAAAATCCCCGGAAACACACATGGTAAATAACTTTCTTCTCGAGTACTCTGAGATATTCACTCATAGATAAGATTTCTTCCTTTTCCTTTCTTCGAAGATAATACCTTCAGTTATAAGACGAATGCGATAAATAGGCTCGAATCGGATGAATTTTTTTTGTCATTACAAAACGTCGCGTTGCACAATAGAATAATATTTATGGCGGCGTTTTACGAAATCAACTTCACCTTCGGGAATTAACGCGCGTAATTTATTTCCCGCCGCGCTTCCCTCGCGTCGTGCCGTTGCATCGTCGCGGCTCGCGAATGCAATCTAGCCGAATGACATTGCACTATACGCGACGTCGCTGTGCCACATGGTGTGGCGTGTGATACTTATGAATGAGAATTAAAGGCCCTGCGCGTGTGAAGCGATATGCTGGGTCAACGAGGCGAATACCGAGACGACCGGAACAACAAATACCTGCCGCTGATATTATTGCCCTTATCGCTATTCTTTTAACTCTTTCTCATTCTCTGCTTGTCATTATATTGCATTGATACCGTGGCGCGAGATTTCATGCGAGGGAACATATTTATATTTTAACATAGCGCAGGCTCATGCATGTTACACAGACGTGTGTACAACATTGACAATATGAAAAATCAATCGTCTTTTGCAATATGTGTATACTTGACACGTTTCAGTTTTTATCATAGATTTATCAATAATTAAGAAACATTATTGTATCAAAAAGAGCTTCCACTTTTTGTTTTCTTTCTAGTATCTTAGTTTGATTAGTTCGTTTCGTAAAGTCCATGACATTTCATCAATTGTATTGACTAATAAAACATAGGAGTTAGATTAAGACAAGCCTTAGAGAATGAATCAGTATTGATAACGTGAGTAGCTGGCATTTATAAGAGCCAAAATACTTGTCTCTGCTATCATTGACACACACTCATTTAGGGAGGAGGGATCATCCATTGAGAAAGAACTACAATCAATTGTAATTCTTCCAGTGTTTTATTACATTCATGTTTTTCGTGTATTTCGTATGGAGAAACTTGTTTCTATCAACTCATTTCTTATCCGCTCATTTCACGTATGCGAAAAAGAGATAAGTTTCTAAAAATAGTAAATTTTCTGTGTTACAGTTGGAAGAATTGAGCTCACTTTAAGCCATCTCATAAGGCGTAATTCTATCATCCGGTAATCAACAAAAGGAACCTGAACCTAAATCTCTTCGTTTCCGGCAATTCACAGAATTGGACGTTGTCCTCACAGAGAATTCGTCGTTACTGGTAAGATTTATCAAAATTTGTGCAACTACAAATTTTTAATTATTTTTAATTAATATATTATTAAGGTTATATATTTTAAGCATATTTTGTGTCAATTTTATGAATTTTGATGTATGAATGAATTGAATGGCTAAAATCTCGAGATTTCGTAATTCATTTTATGATTACTGAAAACAACTAAAAGTACATATACACATTTTTTGAAAGATTTCCTAGATTAAATTTTTTTATCGGGCAGGAAAAAGTTTGTTTATTTACTTGTTGATTAAAATCACTCAGTTGGAGCACGCAATAGATTATTTAAATTGAAACATATTAAATGTGTATAGGATGTGAACGAGCTAACAGAGTAAATTTTCCTAGCTAAATTTTAATCTGTACACACTAATGTATATATATATATATATATTAGTGTGTATAGACTAAAATTTACTAAATTTACTAACTTATATATATATATATATATATATCATTGGCGATTTATCGGTTGATCGAACGTATGCAACTGGTGTCATTATCGTGGCTTTGTCACGGTTGTCGTCGTCCAGCTACATCGCTATTTCAAGATTAATACCACTGAATGAATCTATTAGCGGATAAACATGTGTTTATGATCAACATCGTGCGTCCATTTATTTTGCGTCATTACCGAATAGCGATACTTGATTCAAGTGATGACTGGTCGACTCTCTTGACAAACAATCTCACATCATTTATGCATCTGTATTTCAATGTCACGATTCAATTTGGCTTTTATCCCAGCTTTCTTTCATCTGAGTTTCCAAATTTAAATTTTGAATCAGGATCAATTAAACGATAGAGATTTAAATTATTCGCGACGTGTGGATTTAACTCATTCCTTTAAGTCTGAGACTTGTCTGAAAACTTAAATTGCATTAAACGATATTTAATAATTTTACCGATGCATTTAGGAACATTCCAAGATTTGTTTGAAACCATGAGATTTTCTTGTCTTTCTACTCTTATTATATCAAATTTATCACATCATATTATATCAATTTTTTTTTGTGTTTTCTAAATATAATCTTTTACGAAAGAAGTTGAAAAAAATGGATGATAAAATTATATAAATAAAACAGATAAGAGTAGTCGCAGTTGAAGCTTTGATTGGAATTAACAATTATTAATTAGTTAGTTAAAATTGAAGTTTCTAAAACAATAATAAATTTAATAATAAATTTAAATTACATGCAGTTTGCGTTGTTAAGTCTCAGTATCTGACGTCACCCGGTATATAGAAGATAAAGTGAGTGATACACTTTTCCACTTTCTCTGCGACCGAGATTGCACGAAGCCTTGAGCATAACACATAACAAAGCAAAACTTCGCCTTCATCCTACCCGTATACACGGTGCTCCAGAAAGATTGGAGACAAAAATTTCGAGATTTTGTTGAAAAAAAAAATACCTATTTATTCTTTCTATTTTTTAAAATGATTTATTATGTCTGACATATTTTGTAATATTTATAAATCTATTAGGTGTTGGAATTAATTCGTAGCGTTTTTAATGAAAGAATTATTATAAATTAGAAAAATTACGAGCTTATATATATATATAAATTAAATTATATTATTTTCTCAGAAAATTTTTGCATTAAAAGTTAATTAAACTATGGTGAGAGGCGTATTATTTATTAATCTGATTATTCAGTTATTCAATACGGTTAATTTTCTAATTTTATTCTTGTTCATAAATGAGTCAAATTGAGAATTTTGGAAAAATGTGTATATCGTAATATATTAAAGTTGGAAACGATGATAGTAATCTAATTTATTGGTCAATAATTCTTGATATAATTGCAACACACTCGATAACTTCACGTTTCGATAGCGAAAATGATAAAATATAACCAACTGCGATATTAGCGATATTAGGCGGTGCCAACATGATGTCATTATTGTTTATGCATTGGGATGCGTCGCAGATCTGTCTACATATCGCAATGATTGAAGTCGTCGACCTAGTCGGCGTCTGCCACGTGCGAAAAGTTTGTATCACCTCCCATTATTTCGTAGCGCAATATATTTAATCGCTCTTTAATCACGCATGTGAAAAATCGCAGATGACGCGAAAGCTGTTGCATAAAATATTAAACGTATTTTTTCATATAAATTAATTTTTAAAAAGTAAAATAAAAATGTGCCTTAGGGCGAAACGTAGTTAGTAGGAGCATAAAAATAATTTTTATTTATTAGTAATTTAAAAAATACGCAAATTTTTATATGTTAAATTAATTTTGTGATATATAATAAAATCATATTTAATTAATAATAATAACTATGACTACTGACATGCAATAAGTTATATATATGTAGATTATTTATGCGTTTTAATCTGGTAACTGTCTAAAGAGGAAAAAAAAATAACTACAAAAAATTATATCTGTTTGTGATAGCGTACACAATATTTAAATTCATTTTACTTCTATGGCAGAGAAACTTTACGAAACTTTTATGATTAATGTCAATCTGAATGATCGAAGCCAAGATTGGAATATAAATGATTTCATTATCATTCGCTATTGTTAAAATCGACGCATTAAGCGCCACGTATACGCTGCAGAATGTACATTATCTCCCCTGCATATATGAAACCTCAAACCTCTTCGTAAGGTCCTTTCGCATTTTTGTAATACAATTGACAGCATCATTATTTTTTAAATATCATTTTATGAAAAATTATGATATAACTATAAAATATAAAAAAGATATTTACGTAATGAACATGGATAATCATAAATCTTTAACGATCTCATCATTATCATAAGGATTATTATTGAGAAACATTCTACTTTATAATTAACTGCGCCTGCAGGTCTATTTTTCGTGACCTTTCGACTCTCGTCTGTATTGTCCACATCAAAGTGTTCATTAAATCGCGATCCGGCCACGGTCGACGTTGTCTACATGAGAACCGCTGTGCGTTCCCATTTCTCCTTTCAGCGGTCGGTCGTTCGATCCGCGGTTGTATAACACCAATGAAAGTACTCTTACGGGCGACGGCCAACGTCACGTCCACATCCACACGGGCCGTTCGTCGTGTCCTTTGGCCGTAAACCGTCGTATTCGTCGTCGTCTCGTGATCAGCCGGTCTCTTCTCGTGGTCTCCTCAGTCTTCGTCCGTATCTAAACGAAGACGTAACGCACGCCGATGGCACGCGGTACTCCAATACTGGAGCAGTCACACTGCGGTTCTCCGCAAGGTGCAAGTCGAGGTAGTTCACTTTGTAGCAATCAACAAGATTAAGCATCCATTTTGAACCGAGATCTTAGATGATTACTTACGCGACGAGTATTTATAACAGACATTTAAGAGCTGCAATTTGTACTCAGACAGCAGACAATATTAATATTAGAGAAAAGATGGAAACTATTCTTTCTCACCGCTCATCTCGTTTCTCTTCAAAGATGTATGCTTTTCTATGTATTTTTCGATTGATTTATGAGACACACTCTCCTTTATCTATTTTCATAACGCTAAAAGACTAATAAGTTTATGTCCAAGATTAATAGGAAAATTAATATAATGACGGTATTAATAATCGTCTAATTAATATTGTTAAGCGAGAAGAGAAAGAGAGGTAGAACGAAAATTGGAAAAATATATACATTTTTATCTTATCGAGAAACTCGATTTGGCGAGTCTCAGGTACGCGTGCATTTTGAAGTGGTACTATCGTTTTGATTATCTTGCACCGATGATACGCAAGTGCAACGTGCGATACCGCGAATACCGCGAATCGCGCATAAAAGTGCAGCTGTTGCGTATTTTCCAATCAAGCGTTACCATATGCCGGTTCGATAAGATAGCGCTTTTCCTCGTGATAAATTTATTGAACCTAGAGCGTACCGCCAAACGTGCTCCACAGTGCTTTTTTTTCCTTAACAAGTCTCACTTTTTGCAGCGCAAATTTTATTTGAAGAGCGCTTATATCGGAAACAACGCAAATCGATATTTCGACGGAGCGAGCCGGGATAAAAAGAGACTCGCCGAGGTAACTTACGGTAGCGATATCTTTTTGCGCGACCGTAAAACATCGTAAATTGTAGGAAAAGTAAAAGAAGAAACGTCCAGTTTTACATTCTACGGTAGAAATAAATGTAGTCGTAAATACACTCGCGTCTATTCTTCGTATGAAAAGTTTAGCGTCACGAAAAATCACCGTTCATAGAATGATTAATGATAATTATCTATGCCGTTGGTTTATTCGTTAATCGAATCGGAAATTAATACCGGTTCTGGAGAAAAGTTTCTTACTTCAATAAGCTATATAAGATATTTTTGTCAAGACGCAATTCGAAACGAAATGGCGACACGTCATTTCTTGTTTTCTACGTCGACGACTTTATCCGTCGACCTCGCGGAGGAACGATTACTTAAGGTCAAGCGCACATTTACGCTCGCACACAGAAAACCTCGTCACTAATTATCTGTGCCTCGAAGATACGACAAGCCACGATAGGGTTAAGGTTAACTTAAAAATATAGAAACCTAATCTAATATATGTATAAAAAAATATATGTGTAAACGTAATTATCTTCATCAATACAAGAACTCATATACTAAAAAAATTGACTCTTTAACTATTAAAAATAAATCTTTAAAAAAATAAATTTATCTTTTGCGAATTGCATGCGAAAATTAATAGTTGCAAATAAATTTATACATTTTTGTGTTGATTACACAATTACTTAATTAAAGCAAAACGTCGTTGACATAAGTAAAGCTATAGATATGAAATTCGATATATCATATAGTCGAAGTAAAAAATTTGAAGAACAGACATAAAGATTTAAGTTGAAAGCATTACATATTCAAGTTGCATATTAAATTTTATTATTAAACAAGAGCTACGAGCCAAGAGATCTTAATGCTGGATTAACTACGAAAACATAAGTTTATTAAAACAAACGTTTCGATCTCTCTTGGATCATTTTTTTTGAAATTAATACAATTTGAAATTAACTCATTTGAAAA